ACATACAGGAACTTTGTCTGCCCAAAATCTCCACGCGATAAGCCACTTCGTCGGGCCATCATCATTCTGTGGTGGCCAGGTCGCTTCTGAAATAGAGTTACTCGGCTCAGTGGGCCTTACCTGGTGAAACGAAAGATAACTTTCTATTCAGATTTAAAGCTTTCGTGAATGCAGGGATTCATCTTCTTGGATCTTTCGGTAAAGTCACGTAGAATGGAAATAATAAAATAATAAAAATAAAACGTCGCGAGAATTATTTTATCATGTTTTATTTTTTATTATTTTATTATTTCCATTCTACGTGACTTTACCGAAAGAACCAAGAAGATAACTTTCTAGTTGTGTATAGAGACCGCACGTATCCCAACCTCCTCCACCCCCTCCTCCCCGCTCAGCCGCAATCCATCAGCCTCGCACTCTTCTTCCGCAGAGCCCATGAATTGGTGCAATATCATTCAATTAGCGCAGCTGCGGCCCCCGTGTCTCTTTGTCACCAACTCGGGGGGTGTGGCGGTGCTGGTGGTGGTGGAGGCAGGAGGAGGAGGGGGTGATATATTTAAAACCTCGGGGTGGAAGGTGCTGTGTGTGTGGGGGGGTGCAGGACCAGCGAAGCCCCCATTGTTTCACCAGAACGAGGGGAGGAAGCGCGCACAGCGGGAGCCAATGGCCATGTAAAGTCGAGCCACGGAGCGGGGAGACGGAGCACCTCGCGTGGCAGCAGGAGCGCGGATCGCTCTCGCTGTAACGCCAGTGGAACACTTGGACCTCCCATCCCCGTGTGGAGGGAGGGAGGGGAGGGGGAGGGGGGAGGAGGGGGCGGAGGGGGAGGGGGAGAGGGGGGAGGGGAGGAGGAGGGGGGAGGGGAGGAGGGGGAGGGGAGGAGGGGGAGGGGAGGAGGGGGAGGGGTGAGGAGGGGGAGGGGTGAGGGGAGGGGGAGGGGTGAGGGGAGGGGGAGGAGGGGAGGGAGGAGAGGGGCGAGGGGGAGGAGGGGAGGGGCGAGGGGGAGGGGTGATGGGGACCCCGGCGCTGTTTGTGGGTGGTGCGGCACGGTTCACTCTCTGCGCGGGGGAGGGGGGGGGATGGGAGAAGCGGGGGGGGGGGGAGCGCATTGGGGGGGTAATGGGGCCACCTGCGCGCACGTGCGGAATTCCTACACCCCCCCCCGACACCCCCCCCCGACACCCCCTCCTCCTCATCCTCCCCGCGACCCCCGCGACCCCCAGGACGCGCCTCCAGACCCCTGCACGGAGCTTATGGCTCTTGGCCCACACAGCCTCCTGCTGCTGCTGCTTCTCCTGCTCCTCCTGCTGCTGTTACTGTCCCAGCCCCGAGCGCGCCTCGAACACTACTTCGCAGGCCGTATATATAGATACTGTCCACCGCATAGAACGCCGTGACGCTGCATACACTGAATCTCCACTCTACACGGCGACATTGTGCATGCGTGCACGCATTCGCGAGCTTGGGAATCGATCTATTTAGTTTAAGGCCTCGAGCGGCTTGCCACGTTAACCCGTCACGTCGGCGAGCATTACACCGACGGACGGAAGGACATCTGATTCCCCGACACGTGCCGCTTCCGTGCTTGTGCAAAGCGCGAGCTGAAGAGTCGATACTGTTTGACGAATCGATGCGTGGCGTGGCGTGCCACCTCCCGGCCTCCGAGACCCGAGCTCGCTAGCTGCCCCCCCCCCCCCCCAGACTCCTGTGGCCGCCATGACCTCTGCACGTCTCTGCGGCCCAAACGCAGCAAACGCCTTCGAGTGAGAATCTCCCTTAAACTTTACCCAGATTCAAATTGGAGCTCGGGGAACACTTCGGTCGCTTCGTGCAAACTCACCGCGGGTCGCCTGGCGTCTACCGAGGGCCCCAACCTACAACCAAACCGGTGTGGCGTGCGTCCTACCGCGACCAGATCTCAAGTGTAAGAAGCAGGTTGGAGTCTGGTTGGTAACCAACTTGGAGGGTGGCTGCCGGGGCTTGTGTGGAAGGGGGGGGGGGTTCACCGGTTTTCTTCCAACGTGAAGCCAAAACACTCGTGAAATGGATTTGGTCAAACCTCCCGATGTGGCCAGGACCCTCCTGAAAAAACGACTCTGCGAGGGCTTTCCTGGATGAATAATTGGCATGAATGGTTATCCCCCTGATCCCATTCCAGCTTCCAGATTCCAGCCCCATCGTAATCATCCACCGTGATGAATCTACCGCTGGATGAAGGCACCTTCGCAGTCCGCCGACGGACAACCCACCCTAGCACCTGGACGTGAGCCAATTCCGTCGCTCCGTCTCCGCGGTGGACGCCCACTGACCGCAGCCCCTGGCTGCAGAGTCTCCAGCCAGGAGCTTCCGAGTGCCCAACTCCCAGCCTCAAGTCCCTCACCTCTGCCTCCCATTGCCCAGCCCATAGCCCACGTTCACCGGCCTCCAACCCATTGCTCTCTCCAACCTCCCTCGCCAGCCCAACGTCTCCATCTCCTAGCTGCCTTCTCAGCTCCCTTGTCCCGCCGCGCTACCCTTTTGCTGGAGGACAAGCGGTGTAAGAATGTGGTCGTTACCGAGCGATTAATATGGAAAAACCGAGCCGCCCAACTTTAACACGTCCCGTAAACGCGTTTAAGTGCATTTTTTCCCGCGCGGCCCGATATTTACTCGCCGTTTAAAACCACCCGAGTGCGGGCCGACCCTCGCCTATAAAGGGGGGCGGGAGAGGGGGCCAGCCGGCTCCCAACGGAGCGGACGCGGGCCGTGCGGCCAGCGGGGCGAGCTGGCCCGTATCCCCGGGTCTCCCTGGGCGCGTTCGCCAACGTCGTGGGTCCGCGCCGACGACGTGGTTCCGGTCGCACGTCTCGGCACAGGCCCCGCACGGCCAAACGTGGCAGCGGCCGTGGCCCGGGCATTTATAATGAGTTTAACGGAGCCCACTGCTGTGCTTTTGAAGTTGGCCATATTTTTAGATATAAAAGAAAGGAAGTGGCGAGCCGGAGTTTTAAATTAAAGCAAAACACGATGCGTTCAGCAGCCGTCCTCACCACCGAGACCGCGGCCCGGCGGCCTGGAGGTTTTCTTTGGGGGGGGTGAACTGTGAATAAATAAATAAATAACCACAAATAGATTAAATAAAACGAGAGGAGGGATGCGTGCCTCCGCCGTATGGATAAAGCATCGCGGAGGCTCGAGCGAGCGAGCGAGCGAGCGCGAGGGGCACCGGGGATGTAACGAACTTCCTCCGGCTCACGGGGAAGTGGCGTCTGGGGGATGGGACACGGCACGCTCGGCCACGGCTGGTGGATAAAGGAAGAGCATCACGTAAGGAAGGGGCCTGGCAACCGGACAAAGGGCTGTTTTGTGAGCGAGGAAGACGCTTTAAAAAAAGGTTTGTTTTAGAATCATCACGACCATCTGCTAGATCAAAGGCTATGGTCTTTCCTGCTGCCAGCCACTGGGTTTCATGAGATTCTGTCTTTCTCTGTGCGAAGGAAGGGAAGCTAGTGGGGAGGATTGGGGGCCGCGGGCTGGAAGTCAACATTCTGAAAGCAGTGAGGAAATGGCTGAGTGGGAACCAAATTCAGTGTTCGTGTCTTCCTCTCCCCCACCACCCTCCACACACACAACCAAACACCCCCCCCCCCCTCAGCCACCCCCCACCGGCCAAACTCCCGTGTCCTGTCACCCAACGCATCTCCCACCCCCCCCACCCACCCACCACCGTCACAAGCAGCAAAATGCCGCCCGTAGCGAATTGCGCCGTTCCGCTCCCCGGCCCAACAAATTGGAAAACAAAATCTCCGTGCCGCGATTTCTCTGAGCCACCGCTGTAATTGCCGAGTCGGCGCTGCGCCGCAATCAATGGAGCCGTCTCGTTGCGTGGGCCCGGCCCCCCACCACCCCCGCGCCTCCCGCTTCTCCAGCCGAGTTCCGCATCCCTCTCGCGAGGGGGCCGAGCGGGCGGCGCTTCCTGGCACGTCGGTCGAAGTTCGCCGGCGAGAAGAGAGAGAAACTCAAAATCCACCGGTCGCGCGCAACACGACTCGGATGGATCTCTCTGTCGCGGGCGAAACGCGCGACACCCCGAAGCTGCTTTGGTGCCCCGATCGATCGCAACCCACGCCGGGGAACGGCGGCGGTGATTGACAGCGCGAAGCGGTTAGCGGTGTCGCGCCGCGTGTCATGCGCGATCCGCCGATAAAAGCAGCGAGAGGAGGAGGATGAGGAGCGGAGCGGAGCGGAGCGGCTGGCACGCGGTGCGGTGCGCGGGATCGCGTTCCCACAGGCGGGCGAACCCCCCGCGTGCTCCGGCTTTCCTGCCGGTGTGCGCGAAGTGGCTAAGATTAGCCCAGATAGATTTCCTCGATTTACAAACAGGAACAAGCACTCAAGGCCCTCAGTGGGAAGCTGCAGCCGAGTCCTTGGTCGATGACGCGCCGCGACGCCGAACGGATGCCAGAATGATCCGTTTCCTTAACAAGTTCTCTCCGCACTCAACAAACGTCGGATAAAATTGGCACCGATTTTTATTTTTTTTACTCTTCAGGTGACACTAAAATCTACATTTATATGAACGTAAATAAAATGCTCGGCGCTTCAATACGTTCGACAAAAAAAGGTGGTTACTAGTTTAATACAAAACAACATCCATTTATGCTGCATTTTCGATTCCAGATGTACTTTGAAAACAAACTTTTCACATTCGTACAGAAATAAGGACTTTACAAATGTGTTTTAAAGTGAAAGGCTCTATTCCTCCTCATCATCATGATGGTGATCACCATTAGCCATGGCTTCCATGAGCTCAAATCTCTCCTCTCATATTCGTTGGCGATCGATGCCTCCAAAGGCAGCCAAGGGCCGACTGTCGCGCGACGCTAAACTTCCACGAGCGGCCGTGCGCCACTTCCACTCGTGCGGTGCTCAGCCAAGTCTCCCGGCACGGCCTCCAGGACCAAGGCACTCACGCCGCTCGGCAGCCGCTCGTCAACCTCTCGTCAACCGCGACCTCTCACCTTCTTGGGGGCTGGGCAGCCCGTCCCGGTCGGACGCGACGAGGCCGGCCACCGTGAACGCCATTTTGCTGTGCTCCTCCAGCTTGAGGCTGCCGGGCGACGCCGAGGGCCGGCTGTGGGCAGGGTGCGGCAGGGACGGGTGCGCCGGCCCGTACTCCTCCGGCTCCGAGAAGCGCAAGTGCAGCGCCGCCGCCGCGGCCGCCGCGGCCGCCGCGGCCGCGGCCGCCCCCTCCGCCTCGGCCTGCGCCAGCACGCCCTTGAGTCGCTTGGCGGGCGTGAACGCCGACTGATGGTAGCCGCAGCCCCCGCCGCCGCCGTTGCCTCCACCGCCGGAGGCCCCGTTGGAGCCGTCTCGGTCGTCGCCGGGCGAGGCGAACGGCCGGAAGGCGCCGACGCCGCCGTGGCCGAGCAGGCCGAGGCCCGGCGGCGGCGCCGTCGCGAACTGCGGGTGCAGGTGGAGCAGGCCCGGGGGCGGGAACTCGCGCGTGCCGTAGCCGGCCATGGCGACGGCGGGCCGGTGGTAGAGCGAGGCGAAGGCATAGGAGCCATTGGAGAAGGGGATGTGCACGGCGGCGGCGGCGGCCTCTTTCTCGGCGGCCACCGCGGCGAACGCGCGCTGCTGCTGCTCGGCGCGGCCCGTGTCGGCCGTGGAGGCGAGCACCATGAGCGCGGTGGGGGAGGTGAGCGGGCCCTGCAGGTAGGCCGCGTTCTCCATGCGGAACGCGGCCGCCGCCGCCGCCCCGCGCTGCAGGTCCATGCGGAACGTCTCCTCGGGGCTGGGCTCCCGCGTCGCTCCCACGCTCGTGCCGCTCTCACGCATTTAGCGCGCGCCCTCGTCCGTCCGTCCGCGCGTCTTTCTGGCTCGCGACGGCGGTGCTGGCGGCGGACGCTGGCGCGCGGGTGGGGGGTGGACGCCCGGGTGGGGGGGAACGGGGGGTGGACGGGCTGCCGTGGATCACGCGGAAACCATCGCCCGAGCCGGCCCCCTACGCTGGCGCCGGGTCCTGTGTTTTGACACACGAGCGAGAAAAGGGGAGAGAAAATTCAGCTCCTGATGTCCGACTCATTACCGCGTCCTGTAATGCATCTGTAAATCTTGTTGTAAAGCAGGCTGGCTGATGATTTAAAATCTATAGCCATATCCCGAGATATGACAGAAGTGTTTTGTTGAAAATTGATCCTTCCAAAATTGCCACCGTGCCATTACCGGTGTAATTCGCCTCCGTAGTCACCTTCCCGCGCCGGGGCTGGGATCGCCGGGAGGGCACAGCCATCCCGGCGATCACCGGCGCGCTCCTCCGAAGCCCCCGCCGCGGCGCGGGCCGGGGTTTAATTAAGACGAGCGCGGTTCCAACGCGGCTAAACATCTGCTCGGAATCCATCAGCGCCACGCTCACGAGCCTCGCTCCTGTCACCCGACCCGAGACGAGTCGTCGCGCAAGGTGATTTCACCGACCGTCGCTTAAACCAGACCCTGCCGTGACGAGGTTAGAACATCCACAATGAGCGCGAATGAACGCAGATACACTGGTGTGTGTGTGTGTGTGCACATACATACATGTGTACACGCGCGCTGCGGAGACACTCCGCTGGTACAACGTGTGGTTCATGAGCGTGTGAATATATTTTGGCCAAGTTGTCTGCGACTCTGTATATTTTTGCGTGTACTTGTGTGATGCGTAGGCACATTGGTGTGTATGTGTACTGCGTCATACTATATTCCATGAAACAAAAGTTTTGCTGGCTGGCTGGGAAGGACGGACGGTCACGTTCAAAGGACGTACACGTGGCTAGTGCTTGTCTACATTTATGCAGGGGATTCATTCTGCGCTGAAAATGTTCCAGGTCAACTGCTAGACTGGAGTAGGCATGTAGGCATGTGACTGGTAGCCTAAGGCCATAAGCCGAGAGGCACACTCGCTGAAATGATCGCTGCGTTTATGTAATTTTACAGAACGTGAACACCGTACAAAGTCGCACACGGAGAGCCATGTATCATTCATAGTCACATCTGGATTACAGGGATAGCGACGCGTTAATCACAGGTCTGGTCACGTTTAATCGGAAATGTACGCGTGGTCACACCGTCATGTGTTAATCAGTCACGCTCTTGATGGGACAGTCACAGTTCGATGACACCAACAGTCACTCTGTGTTTGCTAAGGAACAGCCACGCACACTCGTCTCAACGGGTGTGCAGTCACGAGCCAGTCACGAATGGAGCGGAGGAGCGTGTCACCTCTCACTCAGGGGCCGCAGCCAACACTGCACGCGAGCCAGACTCCAACCACTCTCCAACCACCCTCCAACCACCCTCCAACCACCCTCCAACCACCCTCCAACCACCCTCCAACCACCCTCCAACCACCCTCCAACCACCCTTCAACCACCCTCCAACCGCTCTCCAACCACACTCCAACCGCCCTCCAACCGCTCTCCAACCACCCTCCAACCACACTCCAACCACCCTCCAACCACTCTCCAACCACACTCCAACCGCCCTCCAACCGCCCTCCAACCACCCTCCAACCACTCTCCAACCACACTCCAACCGCCCTCCAACCACCCTTCAACCACCCTCCAACCGCTCTCCAACCACACTCCAACCGCCCTCCAACCGCTCTCCAACCACACTCCAACCGCCCTCCAACCACTCTCCAACCGCCCTCCAACCACTCTCCAACCGCCCTCCAACCACCCTCCAACCACTCTCCAACCGCTCTCCAACCACCCTTCAACCACCCTCCAACCACCCTCCAACCACCCTCCAACCACCCTCCAACCACCCTTCAACCACCCTCCAACCGCTCTCCAACCGCCCTCCAACCACTCTCCAACCACTCTCCAACCACACTCCAACCACTCTCCAACCACACTCCAACCACTCTCCAACCACTCTCCAACCACTCTCCAACCACCCTCCAACCACCCTTCAACCACCCTCCAACCACTCTCCAACCACTCTCCAACCACACTCCAACCGCACTAAGCACAGCACACGCGACACGCATCACAGCCTAACCAAGGTCTCACTCTGACCACAGCTCGCCTCTCACCCACACTCTCACTCTCACCACACACGCACCCCTCGCTAACCACATCTCAGCCTCACCCTCACCACCACCCTCACCACCACTAACCACCACCAACCACGGCCGTGCTGCCTTGCTGGACCTGCGAGGGGGTGGACGCGATGCGTCGGCCCGTCAAAGACAAAGATCCCCCGTGTAGCCTTCACAGACTGTAGGGGCAAGTGCTGTTAGCGAGCACCTTTGAAGGCCGGCACGGCACGCGAGGGGGTAGTGGGTGGCCTACAACCACGCCCGGCCGCCTTTGTCTCTCCCAGTGGCGATGTTTACACGTTGCACCAGCTACTCGTTTGAGGCCGAGTTGACCTAGGGGTGGCCCACGACCGGTTCAAGTAATCGTCACCGGTGTTTTTGATGGCCCCGAGCGGGAGTCGAACCCGGGTGGCCGGGTTCGTAGCTGCAGCGCGCTAACCGCTCCACCACCGCTCCCCACAACAACAACAACCCCCGCGCGTGTAACTTGACAGCCACTGCCGCTTCTGCTGCTGCTGGGCACGTGCAGCGTGGCCGTGTGGCTGCGTGTGTGTAGTGTGGGGTGTGTGTGTGGGGTGTGTGTGTGGGGTGTGTGTGTGGGGTGTGTGTGTGGGGTGTGTAATGTGGGGTGTGTGTGTGGTGTGTGTGTGGGGTGTGTGTGGGGTGTGTGTGTGGGGTGTGTAATGTGGGGTGTGTGTGTGGTGTGTGTGTGGGGTGTGTGTGTGTGGTGTGTGTGTGGGGTGTGTGTGTGGGGTGTGTAATGTGGGGTGTGTGTGGTGTGTGGGGTGTGTAATGTGGGGTGTGTGTGTGGGGTGTGTGTGGTGTGTGTGTGGTGTGTGTAGTGTATGGAGTGTGTGTGTGGTGTGTGTAGTGTATGGAGTGTGTGTGTAGTGTGGTGTGTAGTGTATGGAGTATGTGTGAGGTGTGCGTGTGGTGTGTGTAGTGTATGGAGTGTGTGGGGTGTGTAGTGTGGTGTGTGTAGTGTATGGAGTGTGTGTGGGGTGTGTAGTGTGGTGTGTGTAGTATATGGAGTGTGTGTGTGTGTAGTGTATGGAGTGTGTGGGGTGTGGAGTGTGGTGTGTGTAGTGTATGGAGTGTGTGTGTGGGGTGTGTGTAGTGTATGGAGTGTGTGTGTGGGGTGTGCAGTGTGGTGTGTGTAGTGTATGGAGTGTGTGTGTGGGGGTGCAGTGTGGTGTGTGTAGTGTATGGAGTGTGTGTGTGGGGTGTGTAGTGTGGTGTGTGTAGTGTGTGGGGTGTGTAGTGTGGTGTGTGTAGTGTATGGAGTGTGTGTGTGGGTGTGTAGTGTGGTGTGTGTAGTGTGTGGGGTGTGTGTGTGGGGTGTGTGGGGTGTGTGGGGTGTGTGTGTGGGGTGTGTGTGTGTGGGGTGTGTGTGTGGGGTGTGTGTGTGGGGTGTGTGTGTGGGGTGTGTGTGTGGTGTGTGTAGTGTATGGGGCTGTGTAGTGTGGTTTGTGTAGTGTATGGAGTGTGTGTGTGGGGTGTGTAGTGTGGTGTGTGTAGTGTGTGGGGTGTGTAGTGTGGTGTGTGTAGTGTGTGGGGTGTGTGTGTGGTGTGTGTAGTGTATGGGGTGTGTAGTGTGGTGTGTGTAGTGTATGGAGTGTGTGTGTGGGGTGTGTAGTGTGGTGTGTGTAGTGTGTGGGGTGTGTAGTGTGGTGTGTGTAGTGTGTGGGGTGTGTGTGTGGACATCATCATCAGCAGCATCGGTATCGTGATCAGCAGCAGCAGCAGCAGCTTCCTCATCATCATTGTAATTATCACTGTCAGCAACATCATCAGCAGAATCCCCAATGACTCACAGGAGATGGAGCATCCTTTATCCAGCAGTGGACTGATTACTATTAATACTCTTCATTCATTATTAAATGTGTTATCTTCAGCAAATATAACATATCACACGTTCGCATGCAGCGTCGTGTACGGGAAGACTCGTTCAATATAAACTTATTTCACTAATTAAACACATTTACACGTGTGTACAGCTCACATACAAGTACTGTTCTGTGTATGGAACTCACCCGAATATAGTCCACAACCACCACGGTGCCTGTGCCAGGCTAGGTGCACGCACATTGATTAGACGTCGTACGGCCACACGCGAATCCACAATGATTGGGGAGGCACTCATCCAGCAGTGGATCGACAAAGGGGGGGCTGTACAGGACATCTTGTTGACGAAGGCAAAGAGCCACCGTGTAGCCTCGCAGACTGTTGGAGCCAAGTGCTGTTAGCGAGCTGCTGTGGCACACGAGGGGGTTGGGGGTGGTCTGCACCCCCCCGGCCGCCTTTGTCTCCCTCAGTTCTGATGTTGACACGTCGCACCCAGGTAACTCACTTTAGTTGGCCCAGGAACGGCACAGAGATGATCCGTCACATCACACACTCACACACCACCACTACTACTAACACTGTCACATCACACACACACACACACTACTACTACTAACACTACCACATCACACACTCACACACCACTACTACTACTAACACTACCACATCACACACTCACACACTACTACTACTACTAACACTGTCACATCACACACTCACACACTACTACTACTACTAACACTACCACATCACACACTCACACACCACTACTACTAACACTGTCACATCACACACTCACACACCACTACTACTAACACTGTCACATCACACACTCACACACTACTACTACTAACACTGTCACATCACACACTCACACACTACTACTACTAACACTACCACATCACACACTCACACTACTACTACTACTAACACTGTCACATCACACACTCACACACTACTACTACTAACACTGTCACATCACACACTCACACACTACTACTACTAACACTACCACATCACACACTCACACACCACTACTACTACTAACACTACCACATCACACACTCACACACTACTACTACTACTAACACTACCAC